CCTGTGGTTGTAATTCTTTCCATCTGTAAAGCTCCTCACTACTTGTCTTGAAATCTGAATGATAGTTTCACTCAGCTTTCAAGGTCTTTTACATCCACTGCTGCCTGTAGCAGCAATCAAGCAGTATATCCCTGCTATGATGGCACATTTGTCACACCTCTTAATTGCCATTACACATACTGTATAATCCTTCCTGCCAAGTCATGCTAACAATCACAAAAGCTACTCTCTGATGTACTGCTGACTTACCCCTTCCGTGTTTGAAAATTTTAATTTGAAATTTATTAAATCACAGTTAAACAGATTTAATTAACTTCCTGCCTTGCATTAGTATGGTGTCTACCCACCATGTCCCCACCTTCAGAATATTTTGTTGTGGCATAAAAACATCAAGCTTTTCTGCCAATCCTTTTTGTTATGATATTACAAGTCCTCCCACCTTCCAGCCCAACTGCTAAAGTACTGGTAACATTCATTTTGACAGTGGGTGCAGCCTTTCAGATCTGTAGCTGTCATTGAGGCATGGATCTTCCAGCTAGGATAATCACCTTAACTAGCAGCTGAGAGGCCTCTTCTATGGTGCTGCCATGTTCTGCACTCAGTGGGACTCAGGTAAGTGTTGATAAATGCTGGAGTCCTTCCAGTCCTCATCGTTAGTGTCTCAATTATTAGTGCAATTACCAGTAGCTGTTACTTATGTTTATCAAACTCCAGCAAGATTTTTGGGAAGCAAAAACAGGTTGGCCTATCAACTGATGCCCTTATATCCAATCTTGTTCCCATACCTGCCTCAGTGGGACCAAAACAATTCTGTCCACAAAGAGCCATCACAGTTATCTTGGGCTGAATGGCCTCCTATGATGTAACAATTCTATGATTCCATAAGTTACTTTCAGCCCTGAATAGTTTAGTAGACCTTCCTCTTGGAATTATTTGTGATTGGGTGAATGAAGAGGGGTCATGCAGAGCAGGTTCATGTTCTGTGGGGCCACTGTAATCGCCCAGGGCGGTGACTCTGCATTCCTTCTGATCTAGTGGAAAACACATTGCCAGGGTTTTATATGAGGCTCTCAAAGTCCCTTTGAATACATGAGCCATATCTGCAAATACAGCAGTACTCAGATCTCTGATGGAAACTGTGCTGCATTGGAAATTGTGACATTGTCCATTAAATGCTTCATCAAGATGTGTTCCATAGTTGTGATGTGGAGATGACCACCCATTCTACACTGGAATGCATTTGCTCTAAGCCCGACACAAAGACAAGTGCCCAATTGGTGATGGACTCCTAAATGCTGTTTGGCATTGAGTGTAAGCTTTTGATAGCCTTTTCAGTGTACTAATTTACTTATAGAAACAGAAATTTTATGGTATAGAAGGAAGTCATGTGCTCTTTGGAAAAAAAGTGTTTTAACATACAGGGCTATGGAAAAAGAGCTAGTGCTCTTTGGAAAAAGCACTAGCTCATTTTCCATAGCCCTGTATATTAAAACACTTCAAGTGAATATCCAAGTACTCTTTTATTTGAAATGTGATGACGATCTCTAAATCAAACTTTCCTCATAGGTAGAACTGTCCAGGCGTAATCACTGGACCTTTTAAAGATTTCACCAGCTGCCTGGTCTGACTTGAACCAGCTTTTTCTGGATCCCCAAGGTCTTACCAAGTACCACCCACATTCCCACAAACAGGCATCACCCTCTCATGAGTAGCCTTTGATTTCAGTCACTGCTTGGCCTCGCTACTCAAGATGAGTACCCTACTGGGGTGGTATGGCGGCTCAGTGGTTAGCACTGCTGCCTCACAGCACTAAGGGCCCGGGTTTGATTCCAGCCTCAGGCGACTGTGTGGAATTTGCATATTCTCCCTGTGTCTGCGTGGGTTTCCATTAGGTGCTCTGGTTTCCTCCCACAGTCCAAAGATGTGCAGGCTAGGTGGATTGGCCATGCTAAATTGCCCATAGTGTTCAGGGATGTGTAAATTAGGTTGGTTAAAGGGGAATGGGTGTAGGTGGGATGCAGTGAGTGTCGTTGTGGGCTTGTTGGGCCAAAGGGCGTGTTTCAACACTGTAGGGATTCTATGAACTGTCTGTTCCTGGCAACAGGAATTCTCATAATTCTTCTGTGTACTCTCTAGTATGACTACATTCTTCCTGTAATGTGGTGAGCAGATCTGCATACAACATCTTTTCTGTCACCCAATTATACAGTGGAGGAAACTTTGCAATTAAGTTCTCCAAATTTAAATGGTAGTTTTCTCTTCCTGGCTGCAGGTGTTGGGAATCCTATCTGCATGTATTTGAAGATAGGACTGCTCAACATTAGATTCTGATGCCTGGACCACTCAGGAATTGCACTACAATAAATATCAGAAAGAATATCCCACATCATCATTTACTGTTTCCTCCACAACCTTCCCCTACAAAGTGGTAACATTTTGGGGATAAAGACTGAGAGGTCTCCTCTGATGAAAAAGAGGAAGGCAGTGATTCTGAGATGGGTCAGAGATTTCTCACAGACAGGAAGCAAGGATGCTGGGCCAACGAGGCATACAGATCCATGAAAACCTTATTGCTAAACAATTCTAGACTGAATGAGTTACTGACATTCACTTTTATGTTATGGTTGTTAGAAAACAGCTGGCTGGTAGCCTACAGCTTCCTCTTTAGAACGTAGATCATTGATTGAAAAGTGTTGCATTTCATATTGTTTTAAATAAAGATTTTATACTTACTTCCATTGTGCTGGTACTGTGATCACTGAGAAGCATCAAACGACAAGGTCAAACTTAGCCTTTGTGGTGATTATGCAGAATTCTACCTGCACAACACCGGATACTCCCATGATCATCTGGAAGGAAACATGTTTATGGGTCTGGCCTCGAGGGAAGGAGAAAGCAAATCAACGCAAATGCACCCTCGATCAATCTCCCCAGTTCTCCAACGTCCTGGCTCATGTGACTGATTGCCTTACTCCCTCAATATTTCTACACACCTGGAAAATGCTGGGTCCCATGACTACTGTTGAAATTGAAGAGCATCTCAGTGACAGCTTCCACTACAATGGAGGGACAAATTTAAACACTTCCCTTCAATCCTTGTGAGAATGAATTCCTTTACATCTCAGTTGTGCATTGCCTCTTACTCTGAGAATGTACCAAATGACATTGGAAACCCTAACTAGGTGAAATATCTTTCCTTCCTGCACCTTGCCACTGCCTGGTCACATTTCTCCATTATTCATTCTGATTGTCTCCGCAGTGTCTGTAGTGTGGCACTTCAATGTCCTCATTTTGACCTCATCAGACAAGGTCACAATCCTGGAAATCAATGTCATGAGCCTCTTTAATCCTCAAATGCTAGCTCCTTACTTCACTGGGTCATGAGAAACATTAGGCACAGACAATGCTGATGATGTTCCAGGCTTTCTGCTTTCTTCCTTGCCTCCCCTGGATCTGGAAAGTTCTGACTTTAGTTTCCAAAGTATCGCAGAATTCATGAAGTCCCTCTTCTGTCATGGTGGGTGAGGAACTTAACAAACCCTGATAATCCTTTTACTTGACAGATGTTGTATTCAATTGTACTGAATATTTTTGTAAGTTCCCCATTGCATGATATTGGAGACAAGAGTGATTCAAAGACAGGATTTTAGGGAGGAATGTCAAATTCTGGGCCTCTCAGTTGGGAAGAAGGCCTACTGGTGTCTACTTAAGTGTGTAATGGGCTGAAGATTCTAGGGGTGAGTGTGGGTGTTTAGATACTTCGCAGGCAACATGAGGGACATCTGACAAACAAGGATGGTTTCTCTCACAGTGTGAATAAACCCCTTTGGTATCCATTTTCCCAGCAGTCGTTTGGAGACATCTTTCTACGATGTGCACTGATTTTATCTCAATGATCAAGACAGAAGATATATAGGAATGCAGGGAATATAACCAGGGTCAACTGTTAAAAGAGATAGCTGTAAAGAATGGAATTAGACCTTAAATATCACAATCTGCAGCACCGTGCAGAAAGATCGTTTCAAAGTTACACATTGCAAGTTCTGGGTTTTGCACATGTTCTAATTTCAACACACTGATGACAGCTGGAGGGGTCATAGCCAGACGACTTGGTCTACATACTCATATCCAACCAGCAGTCTGGAATATCACAACAAACATGGCTGCTCTCACAATCCTGCAGAAGTAGGTCAGTGCCTCCTGAAAAGAGGTTTCATTGTACAATGATTAGGCTAACATCATGATTGTTAACAGATCAATTTTCATTCTATGACAGAGTGGAGCTCCATTTGTAACACATATAAGGAAATCTGCCAATGAGAATATGTGTTGTTGTCTTCTAACTGAAACTGTAAAAATACCAAGCAGTCTGGTTATTATTCATCTGGAGACTTACTCGATGCAATTCAATATAGTAAACTATGCACAGATGTGAGAGGAATCTACCTGAACCAGTAAGGAGAATTCTTCTCCATAAATAATGTCAGGTTAAATAGCTTTCTTGGGCCTTAAAATGTGTCCTTCACTTTAAAACAGCTCACCATGCTTTCCTGAATTCTTTGAAGAGCTATCCATTTTGTCTCATTCCCATGCTACATTTCCAAAATCATGCACAGTTTTTCTTTGTCAAGTATTTACGTTATTCCCTTTACTTTCAGGGAGTAAATTTCACATCATAACCACTTGGGATAACAAAAAAACAAAACTCATCTCCCGTCTGCTTTTGTTGCCAACAAAATTAAATCTGTGTTCTATAGTTACTGACCTATTTCTCCTTCTGGCTTGTCAGTAGCACCCACCCTGAACTGCCAGGAAGAATTTTGGAGTTTTGCTTTATCCATGATTACAAATCTCACCCAAAGGAAAAGGAATCTGGGTGAGGTACAAAAGGAGCTACTGATTCAACGTCACCTGTTTTTCAGCCAGTGATAAGAGCTAACATTAGTCCCATTGGGTGTGGGGGCAGGAAATGAAGCACAAATGATTCAGAGAGAAATGATTCACATTTTACATTCAAATTCCTTATTTTTAATCATGTAGATATGTTGATAATCTTATACATAAATGTTATAAAAATAAAACTAACACTCATGCCAAAAACCTTTGACAATCATGACAAAAATTGGGCAATTTAAAGAATGATTGCATGGTACGTTAGACATATTAAGAGGAGATTTTCACAATCAACACCATTCCAAAATTCAGTTATACATTAACAATATTACCTCAAATTGAAATTTCTGTTAGTTTAGTTTACTCTAAACAAATTGTGAACTTAGTACAGATGCTTTTGTTGAGAAAGATGACTTAGAGGAGATATTGGAACAAGTAGTATAGTGAGTACATAATTTGGTGAGTTTGAAGGCAACGTGAGAATTTGATGCAGAAGGTAAGAGGCGCTCTTTGCTTGCTTTCTTTGGCCAGTAGTTTGTAAGGTTTCTATCACCAGGAGAGTGACATCACAGTTAAACCATGTTCATTGGATGGTGATAACTACAAATTCACTTTTTATTCATTTTATTCATTAATGGGATGAGGGTATCCCTGGCTAGGCAGCATTTATTTCCCATCCCTAATTGCCCAGAGGGCAGTTAAGAGTCAACCACATTGCTGTGGGTCTGGAGTCACATGTAGGCCAGACCAGGTAAGGATGGCAGTTTCCTCCCATAAAGGATATTAGTGAACCAGATGGGTTTTTCTGACAATTGAAAATGGATTCATGGTCATCATTAGATTCTTAATTCCAGATATTTTATTGAATTCAAATTCCACCATCTGACGTGGCAGGTTTCGAACCCAGGTCCTTGAATATATATTATAGGTTACTTTCAGATTGAAGGCTAATAGGGCAAATATTTATAAATCAGTGTGAAATTTTAAAAATAAAATTAAGAACTGAATAATGAAAAGAGAGAGACTTGGCCAGGCAATGTGTTGTTACTGCATGATGCGGACCACATTGTGGTTCATAGTGACAACATCTGCGCAAGTGTTGGTTGCTTGAGGAACTCCAGCTCAGTGGTCAGGGACAGGAAGGTGTGACTATGAGCGAAGCAGGAAGATGGATTCAGGGGGTAATGCTGAAAGAGCCTCAGCCCTTGAGCTTGTCTAACAGGTTTAAGATTCTTGCTCCCTGTATAAATGAGATTGGGGACTGTAGAAAGGATGAGTAAACTGACCATAGCGCCGTGTTATGGGGAGCCATCTAAGATGGGGGAGAAAAGAGAAATGTAGTTGTAATCAGGGACAGTATGTCAGGGAATAGACACTCTTTTCTGTGGCTAGGATCGAGAGTCCCGAAGACTGTGTTGCCTGCCTGTTATCTGGGTTCAGGATATCTCATCGGGGCTGTAGAAGAAGTTGGAGTGGGAGGAGAAAGATCCAGTTGTCGTAGTACACCTAGGGGCCGACAATATAGGTAGAAAGAGGAAAGAGGTTCTGCCGAGAGAATATAAGCAGCTCGGGGCAAAATTAAAAAGCAGAACCAAAAAAGTGATAATCTCCGGATTACTGCCTGATCCTCAAGCAAATTGGCACAGAGTCAAAGACTGGTATCAGAGAAACAGGTTGAATTCAGTGGACCTTGGCACCAGTACTGGGGAAGGAGGGAGCTGTTCCAATGGGACAGGCTCCATCTGAATCATGCTGAGACCACAGTCCTGGCAAATTGCATAACTGGACTGTGGATTGGGGTTTAAACTAAATAGTTAGGGGGTGGGTTCAGTTGCATGGAAAATTATGGAAAAAAATTAAAGGGGGAGGGCTCATTGGGGGTTAGGGTTTCTAGAACAAGTAATAGGGCAGGGATTATGGAAAGCATCAGGAATCTAACTTCAGGCACAGCAGATAAGGGGATAACTATGAGAAAGTGGGCCGTCAATGCAGGACTGAGGGTGTTGCACTTAAATTCAGACAGTATACACAACAAGGTAAATGAGCTTGTAGTGAAGATTGAAATTGAGCTTGTAGGTTGTGGGTATCACAGAGACATGACAGCAAGGGGACCAGGGCTGGGAACTAAATATCCGAAGATACATAACCTACCGAAAGGACAGGCAGATGGGCAGAGGGGCCTGGGTTGCTTGTTAGTAAGAAACAAAATTAAATTGACAGCAAGAAAGTGATATAGATTCAGAAGGTGTAAAATCTGTGTGGGTAGAGTTGAGGAACTGAAAAGGCAAAAAGACCCTGATGGGAGTTCTGTACAGGCCTCCTATCAGTAGTCAGGATGTGGGGAAGAAAGGAAATCAGGAGATCGAAAAGGCATGTAAGAAAGGTACCTTTACAATAATCATGGGGGACTTCAATATGCGGGTGGACTAGAAAAATCAGGATAGAAGCTGATCTCAAGAAGAGGAGTTCATGGCATGCCTACAAGATTTTTTTGGAGCAGCTTGTGGTACAGTCCACTAGGGAACAGGCATTTCTGGATTTAGTGATGTGTAACGAGCAGAGGCTGACAACCATGGCTGTGGAGGGAAGTCAGGGACAGCACACTAGCAAAAGAAAAAGCATACAATGCGGTGAAGATCAGTGGGGAGACAGAGGACTGAGATGCCTATAAAAACCAGCAGACAATTACTAAAAAATCAATAAGGGAGACAAGAAAAAATATGAGAATGATCTAGTTAGTAATATAAAAGAAGATTGCAAGAGTTTATTTTAGATGTCTAAAAGGTAAGAGAGAGGCAACAGTTGATATTGGACTGCTAGAAAATGAGGCTGGAGAAGCAGTAATTGGGAACAAAAAAAAGGGGAGGAAATAAAGAGGTATTTCATATGAGTTTTCACAATGGTAGACACCAGCAACATAAGGGGGCCGGGGTGAGTGTAGTGGCCATCACTAAGGAGAAGGTACTAGAGGAGCTGAAAGGTCTGATGGCGAATAAACCACCCGGACCAGCTGTACTATACCCTAGAGTTCTGATGGAAATAGCTGAGGTGATTGTGGAGGTATTGGTGGTGATCTTTCAGGAATCACTGGAGTCAGGGATGGCCCCAGAGGACTGGATAATGGTTAATGGTAACAACCCTACTTAAGAAAAGAGGGAAGCAAGGGACAGAAAACTATGGGGAAGTTCGCCTGACCTCGGTTGTTGATAAGGTTTCAGAATCTGTTATTAAGAATGAGATTGCGCAGTAAAATAGGGCAGAGTCAGCATAGCTTTGTCAAGGGGTGATCATGCCTGACAATTCTGTTAGAATTCTTTGAGTAGGTAATGAGCATGTTAGACAAAGGAGAGCCAATGGACATGATCTATTTGGATTTCCAGAAGGTCTTTGACAAAGTACTGCACAGGAGACTGCTAGATAAGATACAAGACCATGGTGTTAGAGGCAAGGTACTGGTATGGACAGAGGATTAGCTGACTGGCAGAAAGCAGAGAGTTGGGAGAAAGGAGTCTTTTTCAGGATGGCAGCTGGTAACTAATGGAGTTCCGCTGGGGTCAGTGTTGGGAAGTTATAACACTTATGTTATACATTAACAAACTGGAAAAAGAACTGAGGGCATTGTTGCTAAGTTTGCAGATAACACAAAAATAGACGGAGGAACAGGTAATGTTGAGGAAGCAGGGAGGCTACAGAAAGACTTGGATGTGCTATGGGGAGTGGGCAATGAAGACATCCATGGAATACAATGCAGTAAAGTGTGAGGTTACACACTTTGATAGGAAGAATAGAGGTGTAGACAATTTTCTAAATGGGCAAAGGCTTCAGAAATCTAAAGCACAAAAGGACTTGGGTGTCCGAGTTCATGATTCTCTTAAGGTTAACATGCAGGTTCAGTTGGCAGTTAGGCAGATAAATTCAATGTTGGCATTAATTTCAAGAGGGCTTGAATATAAGACCAGAGATGTGCTGTTGAGGCTGTATAAGGCAATGGTCAGACCACATTTGTAATACTGTGAGCAGTTTTGGGTGCCATATCTGAAGGAAAGATGTGCTGGCGTTGAAACGGGTCCAGAGGAAGTTGACGAGCATGATCCCGGGGATGAAGGGTTTGTCGTATGAGGAACATTTGAGGACTCTCAGTCTATACTCAATGAATTTTAGAAGGATGAGGGCGGATCTGATTGAGACATATAGAATACAGAGGGACCCGAATTGAGTGGACAAGGAGAGGATTTTTCCATTAGTAGGAGAGACTATAACTTGAGGGCATAGCTTCAGACAGAGGAGACGTCTGTTCAGAATTTAGGAATTTTTTCACCCAGAGAGTGGTTAATCTGTGGAACTTTTTGTCGCAGAGGAATGTGGAGGCCAAGTCATTGAGTGTATTTACGACAGAAATAGATAGGTCCACTGTTGGCAAGGGGATCAAGGGCTATGGAGTAAAGGCAAGAGAATGGGGTTGAGAAACATATCAGCCATGACCAAATGGCAAAGCAAACTTAATGGGAAGAATAGCATAATTCTGTTCATATATCTTACGGTCTTATCATAGAAAATAATCCCTATAGTGCAGAAAGAGGTCATTTGGCCCATTGAGACTGCACCAACCCTCAGAAGATCTTTCCACCCAGTCCAGCCCCCACATTTCCCATGGCTAATCCAGGTAGCCTACATATCCCTAGACATTATTGACAATTTAGCATGGCCAATCCACCTAACCTGCACATCTTTGAATTGTGGAAGGAAATTGGAGCACCCGGCAGGGCAGGAACCTATGTAGATACATGGAGAAAGTACAAACTCCACACAGACATTGAGCCAAAGTTGGAACTGAACCCAGGTCCCTGGTGCTGTAAGGCAGCAGTGCTGACCACTGAGCCACCATGCTGCCCTGAGATGAAACTTTGTCTGAACCCTTAGTCAATCCATACCGAAACAATGAGTGTTGTCAGGCCATTCAACTGGAAATAATACAAAATTATACATCTTCACATGCATTTTCCAATCAAGGTCAAGACATCAATGGTAAGATTCTGCATTCAATTTTGTACCTTGGCATGGAGCATTGAGGTCAGTAGCAGCATCTTCAGTATTGCTGAGGTCAGATTAATCAAGTGAAATCAGTTTTAACAAAGTTAAAACTATTTAAAAACTACTGGTCTAAATTTAGGGCACAGCCTCAGGGTGAAGGGACAAATCTGTTGAATTGAGTTGAAGAGGAATTTCTTCAGCTAGAGAGTGGTGAATCTGTGATCTCATTGCCACAGAAGGCTATGGAGATTAAGTCATTAAGTGCATTTAAGGCAAAGGTAGGTTCTTAATTTGTAAAGGGCTGAAAGGTTACAGAGAAAAGATGGGAGAAGGGGGTTGAGAAACATGATCAACTGGTGGAACAGATCTGATGGACCAAATGGCCTTATTCTACTTCTATACCTTATGGTCTTATGGTTTTGATATAAAGCTAGCAAAGAGACTCACCAAAGATTAGTGCACATTCATAAATTTTGGGTGAGGCTCAGGCAATTGTCATAATTTCTCTGTTTAACAACTATAGAAGATTTACATTATGTTTGCATATCTCAATGAATCAGCTGATCACAATGATGTCTTGAGTGTTGTATAAATAAAACCATTTAACCAATATCTTTAAGATGTTATGATTTTAACAGCAAGGGAGAAGAACAAGAACAAAATCTTTGTGAATGTAACATGAATAATATACACGAAAAATCAATAGATATTAATTGATCTGTATAAATTCTTAAAACTAATTTGCTACTATATCAAAAATATTGTGCAATATGATTAAGTATAAAGAACAACTGAAATAACTTAGCATTCAGGTTCATTTGGACAATTCCTACTTCGAAGGATTTCATTCACAGTTGGAAATAATTGTATTTTCATTTTTAAGTCAGGAAATAGTGCAGTACCAATAGATTTTCAAACCAATAAACTGGAATTAACATAGACTTTACATTGGAGAACTATAAGTGGAACACGAATTCATAATATCATCAAAGTTACTGAAGCATTCATACAAAACAATCATTTATTCTTGCCTATGGAAGCTGCAGAGAATGTGATTGGCCAGCAGGAGGAGTAGTAGTTATTCTCTCTCTTCTGACATAGACCTGAGATCCTACAGTCAGTGTTGCACAATCCGCTATGGTTGCTGGTAGCTGATGAAACAAGTACGCCCCAAAAGTCATCTGAGAAAAATATGAAATCAGTTAAAAGGCCATAGATTATTTTTTGACAGGCTACCTAGGTTAGATAAGAAAAAAATAGCTTTAGGAATTTTTGTAACAAGACATTTGAAACTGATGATACTGACTTCAAAACCATTGTTCCAGGTACAAGAAAAAACACTAATTTATTTTTTACTCATCAAAATCATATTTTTCTATTATATTTGTTTAGGAAAATAAGAATATATGTAAGAAAAATAAATTCTTCATCTATGAAACCAATTACTTTAATCTGTCAATGGACAAAAAACTCTGCTATTGTTTCAACCCCTTTTAGATAAGCCAAAGAAATTTGATGTGAAAATATTCCTCAGTACTCAAAGACAAACAAGCATTACTCTAGTCTATCTTGTCAACATATTTAATATGCCTGAATGACCTCACAGATAATGCCCAGCCCAAAAATAAAAAAACATGCTGTTATAATAAGTTTCTCATGGCCATCAGACATCACAAAAAATTTTACAGCCAATTAAGTGCTTTTGAGTTTAGTCACTGCTGTAATTTAGAAAATGCAAGAGCCAATTTCAACAGTGCGAACTCGCTCAAACTGGAAAGCAATGATGAGCAGATAATGTTTTTGTAATTGTGCCTGATGGACAAATATTGGCCAGGAAATCAGGGATAACTCCCTTGCACTTCTTATGCCATGGGATCTTTTACACTGACCCAAGCAGGCAGTTGGCTGTAGAGTGTCAGCCTATGTTTTTGTGTTAAAGCCTTGGATTAGGTCTTGAACCCAAAACGTTTTGGTTCAGAGGCTTAAATTAAGACAATTTAAAAATTACTGGTAAAACTTTCCTAATTATACAAAAGGAACAAGGAAACTCACCAGCAGCCAGTGCATATTAATAAATTGTGAATGAGGTTCAAGCACAGTTGACACTGAATGGAAAATAATAAACTGGGATGCCACAGTAACATCGTTCAGGGAACCCACAATTCAAACCTTATTTTATTGACGAGACTGCATTATTTCATAGCCATGTCTTTTGCTGGTGTCTAGCACACCAGTTTGATCCTACCAATGCCAAAGCCAAACTTGTGTGCATATCTCTGCAGTTTCCAGTTTTCAAATAATGAAAATATTGAAGTATTCAATATAAATAAAATGTGTGTTGTGTAAAAGCAACTAAATATGAACTGACGACTTTTTAAAACTGCCTGGCTGTGTTTTCAGTTTGGAAAGCTTCTGGTCACATTTGCAGGATAAAAATTTGGAGGTCCAAAGCTGGACCTGAGTTATTCCAAGCTCCACATTTTAGAGAAACACATTTTAATAATACATTCATTTTATATTTTAGGAAGATTTTATCATCTTAGGTTCTCTGATACATTGTACATTTTCTTTTCCTTCTATCAATCTTTCTATTGTTCTGTTTACTCCCTTTTAAGTTGAAACATTGTTTTAATAGTCCAAGAATTAAAATTCATGTGATGATCATATGAATACAGAACTATTAATTCTCTGTAAGAATTTATTCCCCGTTCTCTCCTGTATAGTGAAAGATTAAGAAGCAACCATTGCAAATTTTTCAAAATCAAGTGAAAACTGCAAAAAGGAGCCAATTAAGTAACACAAACTGCAACATGAAAGCGAAGCATGCTCATCAATTTGCAGGGGATTTGAGCATTACTGATCGAGAATAAGCATTTTGTTGGTCAGGATATATAAACTTTTCTTGAAGGACCAACCAATAGGAGATACAGATTTAAAGGTAAAATGTAAAAAAAATCCTAAACCCAATCCACACTGAAGCTGCCCACTTTTAATTTTAAGAAGTGAAACTAACCAGCTCCCAGGAGGCAGGATCTTCATTTAAATATTTGAAAATTTGTCAGCATAACATTCTTCTCTATTCATGCTTTCATGGTGGCTGATTGGATCTCCTAAGCCTCTAAATTCCTATCCACGAGGAGTCAAGAACTGCTATATGAAACAGATAAATTTTTTTTACTCACTCGTGGGACATGGGTGTACTGGTTGCCCATGAGACAGTGGTGGTGAGCTGCTTTTTTAAACCACTGAACTCAATGTGCTGTAAGCTGACCCAAAACCAGTAGCTTTCCCGTTTTATTTTTGTGCCAGACAGGAATAAAACTTGTTGGAGATTATCCATGTGCTCTTTAAATATTTGCCATTGCCTATCCACCGTCATCCCTCTAAGTAAAATTCTTTAATTTATCAAAGCTAGCTCAAACTCATACCATGGTAGTTCCTTTTATTTAGATTCAGGACCCCGGTCTCAGAATCTCCCCATTTCAATATCTCAATCATATTATGGTCACTCTTGCCCAAGGGGCCTTGCACAACTTGATTGCCAATTATTCCTTTCTCATTACACTGTACCCATTCTGTTCTTTAGTTGGTTCTTCAGCATACTGAAGCAGAATATCATCCCGTACACACGCCAGAAATTTGTCCTCCAAAGTGGGGCTACTGATTTATTTAGTCAATCTATATGCAGATTAAAGTTGCCCATAATTACAACTGTATCTTTATCATTTGTAGCTCTAACTTCCTGCTTAATGCCTTGCCCAACATTACAACTAAAGTTTGGAGGTCTATATACAACCTCCAATAAAATTTTCTGCCTCTTGGTGTTTGTAATTTCTAACCATTTCAGATTCTACTTCACCAGAGCTGATATTCTTCCTCACTATTCTGTCAATTTCTCTTTAAACAGCAATGTTACCCCAACCCCTTTTCCTTTTTATCTGACCCTCATAAAAATTGAATATCCTTCAATATTCAGTTCTCATCCTGGTCCTCCTACAGCCACGTCCCCATAATACCAATAATATCATACATGTTTCTATCTATTTGTACAACTCATTCATTTACTTTATTGCAAATCCTTGACACATTGAGACACAAGGCCTTAAGACTTGTCTTTTTAGCATTCCTAGTCATGTTCACATTATTTTGCACCGTGGGCCTGTGTGATTCTTGCATTTGAATTCTCTGTCAATCACTGTTATTTCCCATTCTGTCTTTTGCTTGCCCTGTTTCCCTCTCTTTGTCTCCATGTATAGGTTCCCAACTCCCTACCATTTTAGTTTAAACCCTCCCCAACTATATGAGCAAATGGTCCCACTAAAACATCAGTTCTTTCCTGCCTAATTGTAGTCCTATTTTTTATTCATTCATGGGACAAAGATGTCACTGGCTGCCAGCATTTATTGTGTGTTATTAGTTGTCCTTGAGAAGATGGTATTGAGCTGCCTTCCACATGCTAAAGGTTGACCCTCAATGTACTGAGGGAAGAAGTTCCAGGATTTTGATCCAGCAACAGTGAAGGAATGGTGATTTATTTCCTAGACAGGATGGTGAGTGGCTTGGAGAGGAACTTGCAGGTGGTGGTATTCCCATGTGTCTTCTGCTCATGTCCTTCTAGATGGAAGTGGTCATGGGTTTGGAAGGCACAGCCTAAAGATCTTTGGTAAATTTCTGCAGTGCATCTTGTTGAGAGTACACACTGCTGCTACTAAGTGTCAGTGGTGCAAGGAGTGGATGCTTGTGAATGTGCTGCCAATCAAGTTAGCTGCTTTGTCGTGGATGGTGTCAAGCTTCTTGAGCATTGTTGGAGCTGCACCCATCTAGGCAAGTGGGGAATATTCCATCACACTCCTGACTTATGCCTTCTAGATGGTGGACAGATATTTTGGGAGTCAGGAGGTAGCTTACTTGCCACAGTATTTCTAACCTCTGACCTGCTCTTGTAGCTGCTGTATTTATATGGTGAGTCCAATTGAGTTTATGATCAATGGTAAGCCCCAGGATGTTGATAGTGGAGGATTCAGAGATGGAGAAAGAGCATTGAATGTCAGGGGGCTGTGGTTAGATTGTCTCTTAATAGAGATGGTCATTACCTGCATTTGAGTGGCATGAATGTTACTTGCCACTCGTCAGCTAAGTCTTAATATTGTTCAGATCTTGTTACATTTGAACATGGTCTACTTCAGTATGTGAGGAGTCACGAATGGTGTTGAACATTGTGCAATCATCAGAGAACATCCCTACTTCTGATCTTATGATGGAGGGAAGGTCATTGATGAAGCAGCTGAAGATGGTTGGTCCAGGAAACTACTCTGAAGAATGCCTGCAGAAATGTGCTGGAGTTGTGATGATTGACCTCCAACAATTACCTTCCTATGTGTCAGGTCTGACTCCAACCAGCGAAGAGTTTTCCCCCAATTCCTATTGATTCCAGTTTTGCAAAGGTCCTTAATGCCACACACAATTGAACGTAACCTTGATGTCAAGAGTTGCCACTCTCAACTCACCTCTGGAATTCAGGACTTTCATCCATGTTTGAACCGAGGTTGTAATGAGGTCAGGAGCTGAGTGGCCCTTGTGGATCCCAAACTGGTCATAGATTATTGCTGAGCAGGTGCTGCTTGATCGCACTTTTGATGACATCCTCCATCACCTTACTGATGATTGAAGGTAATTGATGGGGCGGTAATTGTCTGGGTTGGATTTGTCCTGCTTTTTATGTACAGGACATACTTGGACAATTACCCACATTGTTGGTAGATGCCAGTGTTGTAGCTATATGGAACAGTTTGGCTAGGTGAGCATCAATGCTGGAGCACAAGTCTCCAGTACTATTGCCGGAATATTGTCAGGGGCACATAGCCTCTGCAGTATCCAGTGCTTCCAATTGTTCCTTGATTTTACATGGGATGAATTGAATCAGCTGAAGGCTGATGTCTGTGATGCTTGGTACCACTGAAGGAAGCCAAGATGGATCATCCACTTGACACTTCTGGCTGAAGATTGCAATCGATGCTTCTGTCAATGAGGATGGGGATATTTATAGAGCCTGTTGTCTCTTCCATCACAGAGAATAGGGATATTTATGGAGTGTCCTTCTCCACTGAATTATTTAATTGTCCACCACCTTTCATAACTGGATATTGAAGGACTGCAGAGCTTATATCTGATCCATTGGTTGTGGGATTACTTAGCTCTGTCCATTACTTGTACTTATGCTATTTGGCGCACAAGTAGTCCTGCTGGTAACTTCACCAGTTTGACACTCATTTTTAGGTATACCTGATGTTGCTCCTGGCATGCCCTCCTGCACTCTCCATTGAACCAGTGTTGATTCCCTGGCAGTATGGTAAGAGTTAAGTGGGGGATATGCTAGGCCAAGAGGTTGCAGATTTTGCTGGAATACAATTCTGCTGCTGTTTTTGGCCCACAGCACCTCCTGAATGCCCAGTCTTGAGTTGTTAGATTGTTTGAAGTCTGTCCTATTTAGCACGGTGATAGTGCCACACAACATGACAGAGAGTCTTCTCACTGTGAAGGCAGGACCTTGACTCCATGAGAACTGTGTGGTGGTCACTCTTATTTATTCTAGCATGGACAGACGGATCTGCAGCCGGTAAATTGGTGAGGATGAGGTCAAATATGTTTTTACCTCTTATTTGTTCCCTCACCTTTAGGATCCTTTAGGATCAGTAGTGCTGCTGCTGAGCCACTCTTGGGGTCAACATTGAAATCCTCTACCCAGAATATATTTTGCACTCATTAAAACAACAAACAACAACACAATTGTCAGTTCTACTTTTGTATTAAAAAGAGGACACAGCAATTACCTTTCTGTTCCTGGATGAATATAGAGTCTGCAGGGGTTCAGTGCTTCTTTTTCCATTCGATTGGTTAATGCAAATCATTTGGCATCTGTTGCACAGTCCCAGAATCTGCAAAATTTTATATACATCATGACAGTGCATATTTTGAACTGTAAGGACAAGTACATAAGGATATTATGTCAATTTGTAATCAGCTTTCGGCTGGGAATAAGAGTTCAAAATAAAGTGTATATCAGTATTAGAAAACAGAAAATGTATAGGTATTAGATTTAAAAAAGTAATCAACTTGTGGTTATGAATTTTGTGGTAACCAGTTGCAAAGAAATTAAAGAATTCTTACATAGTTCAATCATATAATTTTCATCATCCCTGAAATGTGACGTACAAAAGATTTAGAGATAACAAGGTGTAGAGCTGGATGAACACAGCAGGCCAAGCAGCATCAGAGGAGCAGGAAGGCTGACGTTTCGAGCCTAGACCCTTCTTTAGAAATGGGGGTGGGGAGGGGGATTCTGAAATAAATAGGGAGAGAGGGGGAGGCGGATGGAAGATGGATAGTGGAGAAGATAGGTGGAGAGGAGACAGACAGGTCAAAGAGGCGGGGATGGAGCCAGTAAAGGTGAGTGTAGGTGGGGAGTTAGGGAGGAGATAGGTCAGTCCAGGGAGGACGTACAGGTCAAGGGGGCGGGATGAGGTTAGTAGGTAGGAGATGGGGGTGGGGCTTGAGGTGGGAGGAGGGGATAGGTGGGAGGAAGGACAGGTTAGGGAGACGGGGATAAGCTGGGCTGGTTTTGGGATGCGGTAGGGGGAGAGGAGATTTTGAAGCTTGTGAAGTCCACATTGATACCATTGGGCTGCAGG